GGTGGAGGGAGGGTGGGGTGAAAAGGGGGAACCGATTACAGGGATCTACATATAACCTCCTCCTTGACCTTGGGGGACAGACAACAGAAAAGTGGGTGAAGGGAGACATCAGACAGTGTAAGATATGACAAAATATTAATTTATAAATTATCAAGGGTTCATGAGGGAGGGGGTAGCGGGTAAGGAGGATGAAAAATGAGAAGCTGATGCCAAGGGTTTAAGTGGAGAGCAAATGTTTTGAGAATGATGCAGGCAACGAATGTACAAATGTGCTTTAAATAACTGATGTATGTATGGATTGTGATAAGAGTTGTATGAGCCCCAAATAAAATGCTTTTTAAAAAACAGTTGAAATCCTGGCCTGTATCCCTATGAATAAAATATCATCTAGGAACAAAATGTTCTTCGTCATGTTACTGAAGTCTTACCAGGGTAAATTGTTGTTTTAAACCCAGTCACTTCTGAGATCTAAAAAGAACAGATTAGGCAAGTAGTCGAGGTGGACAGATGCTGCACAGAGACCACCAAGGAAAGGAACAAAGCCTACAGTAACATTAGAAAGGCTGAGACAAAAATGTTTTCCCCCAGAGTGAACAGAGAGCCTTCCCCTGGAGCTGGTGCCCGGAATCTGGACTTCTAGCCTCCTCTGAACTGGCATGGACTCAATGGCAGTGAGTTAGTTTTTTGTTTTGTTTTTGAGAAACTTTGAGAAAATATATATATGTTCATTAAAGCCATGTTATAGCAGCACTAAAAAACAGTAACCTTTATCCAGACTATTCCAATTGTTATTCCTTGGTCCAGGACTTCAAAATGTCTACTTAGAACAAGGGTGGAACTTTTTTTTTCTGCCAAGGGCCATTTGGATATTTATAACATCATTTGAGGGCCATACTAGTCAAGTATTTAATTAATTCACCCTTAGTGTGATGGCTTCTTTGGTGAAGCGTGTGATGTAGCTGGTATTGATGATTTCATGGGCTTTATACGGCCCATAAGCTGACTTAGAATAATATGTTTTTAAAGTTTCACTTTGAATGGGTAGGAAAGAGGGAACCGATTACATGGAACTGTGTGTGACCTCCTCCCTGGGGGACAGACAACCGAAGGGTGGATGAGGGGAGACGTCGGACAGGGCAAGATAT